TTTTAAAAAATTTAAAAAAAAAAAAAAAAATTTAAAGAGTGTAGCTAACCTTCTTCGGTTTTATAATTTGTATCTCTCTCTCAATGGGTTAAGTAGGCATGATATATTTCTAAATAAGGCCATGTTTCTGCACAATTGGTTGTATACATGTGATATTACAAAAGGCAACATGGGTTAGTATTATCTTGTATATACATCAAATTGTGATATTAACATACAAAAGAAGCCAGTAATAATAGTGAAGTTTGTGCTGATGAACATGGGTCAAACACACCTGTTTTTGCATTTTGGGCTATTACTACAACACAATTAAGAATCATAGCAATCCTTGATCAAAGTTTTGTTACTTGCCTTCTCCTCGTACTGAGAACCTAAGATGAATTGCTTATCTTTCGAGCATGTATCATCATAATATTCCTTTTTTTCATTTGGTCAATACAAACCAAGAACTAAGCCTCTGAAAAACAGAAACTGGTAAAGGAAGGCCCAAACCCCGTTGGGATAGTTAGCTACTACTATTGAACTCTGATCCCTTATCTTGAGTTTGCATGATCAGAATACTCTGAAGCTGCTTTTGCAACTGTGCTTTTATTTGTTGGTTATAATCAATGTTTCTACACACACTGTCCTTTTCAGCCAGGAGTTTCACCTTCCTCGTTTCAGCAGCAGCTATCTCCGAATTACGAGAGTCCCTATTGTTGCTTTTAAGTTCCATGAAACATGACCTCAGCTGAAAACCAAAAACCCATGTCAATTCAAAAACTTTGCAATCACCAAACTATCTCACATTTCTATTTTTTTTTCTTTGTTCCATGAAAATTAATACCAAGAGGAACTGTTTCACTTCAATTATGAATCAGTTACCTCGTTCACTCTATTCCTCAAACTCTCAACTTCCATTTTACATTTCACCGCAAACTTCTCCGCAGTTTCCCTGAACTCCTTCATTTCTATCCTCTTTGCTTCGTAAAAGCTGTCTCTCTTGTCGCGCAATTCCTCAAGCTCCTCCACCTCGTTTTGCAACGTCCTATGAGGCTCAAGCTAACGCCAATTATGGTATATTTGGTTTCATTTCTAAGTAAACCAATTTGGTTACGTCTAAAATGACCAGAGTTAATTTTGTTACATATATATCTGACTATAAGTAAAATTAATTTTTAGATTTTTTACATCAATTTAGAAATAACTATTAATATTTTTTTTCATCAAATAAAATTAATTTTAGACTTTTATCTCTCAAATTTATAATTATATATCCAAAATTAATTTTAATAATAAGTTTTCATATAATATATGAAAATTAAGTCTATATTTTTTTTATCCAAACCAAAATCAAGCAAGTTTTAGTCACATTTATTAAAAATCAATTACAAAAATTTACTTTGATTTTAAATTAATTACATCAAGAATATGCAAACAAAAAAAAATACAGTTAAACGATTTTATTAACCAAGAAAAATTGATTCATTCACGTGGTACCTACCTTACCTTAGTTCTTGTGAAAGGGATTCGTACTTGGCTTCGAGGTTATCGATTTGAGACCTGAGAGCGAGAATGTTGAAACGGCGTGACGCTATTTTCTGATCGAGCAACGCGCACCTCTGTTCCGAGGCACTGATGTTTGCGAGCTTTGAAGCCAAAACGCGAGACTTGGAGGCTTGTAACTCTTTCTCGGCCTGGAATTGAAGAACGAAGTAGCAGTGAGTGGTGCTTTTAGTAATTGGTTATGATGTTTAATTCGTTGAGAGGTGAATTGAATTTGAACCTGGAGTAGAGAGAGACGCTGGATTCGAGTGCAGTCCATGTGGTGGAGCCGTTCGTGGAATGCTGAAGAAAGCGCCATTGCTTCTGCGCTCTGTGGAGCCGTTCGGCCGTTACAATTTCAAAAGTAACCGCCTACGTGTACAACGATCTACTTCCGGAATGGGTCGTTCCACTTTCAAGATTTGCGTAAATTAGATCACCAAAAAAAAAAATTAAAACTACTATTTCCCGAATTCTAAACGCAAAAAAAATAAAATTTGAAGCTCATAATTTAATTTTTGAGGAATTGAATTCTGAGTGTGAAGAGTAAATAGTGCTAGATGTGTAAATAAAGTTGAATAGATGCTTTTTTGGTAATTTTTTTTTAAAAAAAAATCTATATCAGTAAAAAATTCTACCAATATAAGATTTATAGCGATTTTTCTCTAAAAAATATTATGAAATCGAAAGGTAAAAAAAATGTGACATCAACTCCAACCTGAGAAAATCACCAAAAATAAATAATAATATACAAAAGAAAAGAAAATTATATATTATTTTAAAGCTTGAAATGACTAACTTCTGGTTATTTGAAAATATTTATAAAAACAACGAACATGAAATTCCAGAAAAGGAAAAAGGTTAATACTATTCGAATAAATTTTTGGACAATATTTTCTGATTTGTGAAGATTATAATTTTTTTTTTCATTTCTCAACTATTTTTAAGTGCTTCTTGAGCTGTAGAATTTTGAGTCTACTTTCATTTTCAACAAGAATGTATAGGGAAAAAAAAAAAGGGGGATGAGGGCAATTGACTTTGATGTGTACTTAGGGTACCTGAATGTATAGGGATTAATCGTCTTCAAATAGGAAATATAGAATGCATAATGACCGTGAGTTTAGTTTTGCGATTATCACAATTAAGTTGAAATTAAATAAAAGAAAAAGGAATTTAATTGAATATAATACTAATCAGAAGAAAAAGAATTACAAATCAATTTAATTAAAAGTAAGTAATGAAAATTGAGGATATTTTAATTATTTTAAAACTTTTGTAATGAAGACTTCATACGATAATTTTTTATTGATCTAATCTCTTTATCTTAATGTTTTCAATTAATTTTCTTTGAAGGAAAATTAACCTAATGTAACTTTCGTTCTTTTTCGATAAACAGAGGTGTATATAATTGTATTAACTCATTTATTTTATAGTAATTATGTTTAATTAAATTCATTAAATTTTTTGTTATATTAATCTTTGAAGAATTAAATCTATTTTCGTGATTTAAGAATTAAGTTCATTCATCCCTATAATTTTAACAATTAAGTTCACATTTAAGTTCTTTCTTAAATATCTAAAATTGTGAAAAGTGTGATTTAATGTCTAACATAAACAAATTAAATAGAATTGAAATCAAGAAAAAATAAATAAAACAATAACGTAAAAGATACTTCAATTAAACATTTATAAGAGTCAAGGGTTATACTCCAATCTTAGAACAAAATGATTACTCATACATAGCTATACAAGTAAAATAATAAAAGAAAAGAGAAAGCGTTGAAAATCATAAAAGATGACAAAAGAAAATGAATCTTAACTATGATTTTGTGTAATCAACATACAAGGTTGAACCCCTAAACCTAGCCTAAAAAGGATATTTAAAGGTTTTTGGGTCAATAGGAGTTCAAAACTCCTAAATAACAAAGAAAAAATAGAAAGAAAAAAAAAAGTTTGGTGAAGCTCACACTCATAAGTGTAATCATGTTCATGTATGATATTTTCACTAGGTGTGTTCTATCTTCTTTTGCTACTTGAGGTGTGTATTAAACTTTCAATATTCCCATTTTTTTTTCTAAGAGCATTTGAATCTAAACAAAAAACTATAACAAGTCATAAAAAGGAAAAATTAATGAAAATACTATGCAATCAACCTAAATATATGAGAAAAATGCATGCAAACCTAACTAAAACACTATGCAAATATGATAAGAGATGCAAAACATCACCCAAGTAGAAAAAAATTTGAAGAAACACTACAAGGATATGAGGGATCCACAACATGATCAAGAGCTAAGAAGACTAACAAACCTTTGAATCAAGAATGAACAAGTTATTTTAACTCAAGCTAAATCTTAAAAGGAGAAACACTTAAGTTAGTGCAACTAGTCCGATTTGACAAAAAATCCAATTGAAGGCAAGATTTTAATTAGGTATCATTGTGTAATTAGTTTTTTTATTTTCCATTTCGCTTTTCTATTTGAGCATTTGTTTTGGGCACAATGATGCACAACATAAGAAGATGTGCTACTTACCTCCTATCATGCTTGGATCTTGTGCTAGGGTTAGCCTTCTTAAGGTAGTAAGTGCTATTTTGGAGGAAGATTAAGGTTATCATCTTGGAAATTTGGAATAAACTATATAAACACAGATGGGATTCCTTGTTTAGAAACATTGAATAATATTGAAATTTACTCATTTGTGAGTATGAATAAAACAATTATCCTTCTTTTTTATTATTGAATAAAAACCTCTTGATTTCATCAAAAAAAAAATTTTTATTTTATTTTTTATTTTTATTTATTTTGTATGGTGAATCCTCACTTATGACTCTCTTAAGTGTAATGCCTTCTTCCATCTTCTTTTTTTGTATTTTGTATTTTGTATTTTTCTTTCATATATCTTAATTCCATGTATATTTCCTCAAATATTCAATTATCTAATTTTTTTTTTAATTTTAAGGTTGCACCATTTCTCTATTGTTAATATAATTCTTCTTCTATTTATTTTGTCTACACATTTTATTTTTGTTGAATTTACTCAATCTAAAATAACTAACTCAAATTTGATATGTTTAACATTGTCAGTTTTATTATTGTTTAGTTATTTTTGTTAATTAAATGATTATTTAATTTTGTTGTTTAAATGCTTTATAACTTTAAGGGTTTCATAATTCTTATGATTTTAGTTATTTAGGAATTGTTTTGAGTTGAGGTCAAAGTTGATCAAGTTTAGGGAAATGTATACAAGGTTTTCTTTAGACTTAAACTTCATAATAAGTTCACTTTCTTAAGAAAATTAGAAGAGGTTAAGATAAGCTTTGAAATTGGAGAGAAACGTTCTCTTTCTAACTTCGCAAGAACCTTCTAGATCCTCCCCTAAGCTGAGTAGTAATAGTAGATTGGTGAATTCAAACTTATTGGTTGAGAATCAAGTCGTGGTTGATCATACGATAAGCTTCCTAGAAGTTTTCGTTCTTCCATCCTTTCTCTCATTTTTGAGTGATTCAAGGTAAGGGAATCTTGTAGATTTATTTCTTGTCGTAATGTATGAGTTGTGTGTTGCATAGATTCATCAAATTGTAGTTGTGATGTTGATTTGAGTATTGCATACTTTGATGTTTAGTTTTCTTGTTGTTTTTGATAAAATGAAAAGGAATTGGTGATCCTTGCCTCTTAATGGTTGCATGTGTTGTATTTTGCTAAAATTGAGTTTTTTAAATGTTGAATTGAAGAATGCATGTGTTGGTTTTTCCTAGGTTTTAAAGCAAATTGTGATTTTGCCAAGTGTTGAATTTGCCATCACTTTGGTTGCAACGTCATGGCGTTGGACGTGATGTAGGTTAGGGGCTTTTTGCCTTATTAACGTTACATGCGAGATTGGTAGCGTCAGGTGTTAGTTAGTTAGGAGACCTCTAACTTGATCATGTCAAGCATCAAATGAGATTTATCAAACATGATTACTTAAGGAGTTCTTTGACTTCATGACGCTAAACGTAGAATTGGTGGCATTGGACTTGGGTTTTGTAACGTTTGACATGGTGTACAAAAGGACTTCTTATCTTATTCATGTCGGACACAAGTGGAATGACATCGACGCGTGGGTAAGCCAATGACTCTCTACCTCACCAACACTAGGCACGAGTTGAATGACATCGGACATTGTTATGTTGAATGGAAATTATAACTTAGTTGTTTTCAATGTTGATCTATGATGATATACAATAGTGTTCTAAGTTGGTAATTAATTGGAGTTGTATGAGGTAGAGTGGTAAGATGATAAGTTATATATTGTTGCATGAAGTTGTGTTACGAATGCTCGATGTATGTAGTTGTGTTGTTAACTTAGGACTAGGTGGGGAATGTTATTTTAAAAGATGAATATCCTATGAGGATATGTGTTGTGGTGCTTTAAGAACCTAGTTGTTGAAAAACCCTTATTGAGCATAGTTGTCTCTTGAAGTAGAGTGTTGAATCTCCTCTAGGGTTTTAGTTAATACCATATACGGACAAGATCGAGCCATACTGATTTAAAAGTGATCAATCAAGTATCATACAATGTGAGACCTGTACCTTCTCCTCCCTCTCTCATTTTCCTTTCTCCTCTCTCATTTTTCCTTTCATTTCTTCCTGAAGCTCTTTCGTTGTGGTCTTCTTTCTCAAGGCTGAAGTGGTGGAGCTTAGGCTATGAAGAAGGATTTTCTTCCTCCATTCTTTTCTTCTTCTTTGTTCTTCCCTTCTTCTTCCTCGTGGAGCTGGGATTGAGGTAAGGGAAGCTAGAACTCGAGTTTGTCATACATTTTAGCTTGCATGTAGTTGGTCTTCATCTAGGATATGATTTGGGGGTTGATTAATTGATCTGGGTTGGTTGCATGTGGTAAAGCTGAAACTTTGTGGTTGTTCTTGATGATCTCTTGAATCTTTGTGCATGCATGTTGTGATTCTTGATGTTTTTGGGTTGCATGTGGTTGGTAGTGGTGCATTTGAATTGTTATATGGATTGGGTCTCCTTGGATTGCAGGTTCATGGAAGATTTGAGTGAAAACGAAGGTGAAATCTATGGAGTTTTGGAAGTTCAGAAACCTACAGCTATAGCCATGGATTCACAGCTATTGCCGTGAAGGAAAAATGAGCTTGTAGAAACCCACAGCTATAGCCGTGGATTCACAGCCATAGCCGTGGGAGGGAAAATGGAGTAGCAGAGGCTTGCAGCCATGGCTGTGGGGAAAAATTGGGGTGGCAGAAACTTGCAGCCATGGCCGTGGATATGTAGCCATGGCCGTGGAAAGGAAACTGAGCTGACAAAAATCTAGAGCTAAAG